GTCACACGATGAATAATCAGAGAGTAGAAGCTAGGCCTATGTTTGAAGCCACTGAGGTGTTTGATGGCGGGGTGACGTGGTTCCACTGAATGAAACTTGAGATGGTCCAATAACTTCGTACCTATCCTGTCTGTTTAATACCTGTATCGCTTTCCATCGGTTGCGTTTGCTGCTCATCAGTTCTCTCAGTATCCAGCATCATTTAATATAAATCACAACAGTACAGCAGTCACAAACCATTTCCTTCTTCCAATCAATGACACCCGACGCTAATTACATGTCTACCTTAAAAAGATACAATACTGTAAAACAAACAGTGACCCCTAGTGGCTCACAGAAGGTAACAACACAGAAAACGGCTCCTACAAAAAAAACTTATAGAGAAATAAATTTGTTGAAACCACACAAGATGAACGTTGTCACTTCCTCTTTCTTTCCATTCTTTATCTTTGATTTCTAGTGTTAGAGGCTGAATGTTAATTGTATTTTCTCTTTGATATTTCTAAACCATTTACAGATATGTTTAATTAAAGTGTACATTTTTATACTTCTGTTCTCAGGGTGCAGACATGTCTGCTGCCACCAATCTGCAGTATGAAGATCGCTTTCTGTGCTCCATCTGTCTGGATGTGTTCACTGATCCGGTCACCACATCATGTGGACACAACTTCTGCAAAAAGTGCATCACTCAATATTGGGATGTTCATGAGAGGTGTCAGTGTCCCCTGTGTAAGGAGACTTTCAAGAGTAGACCTCAGCTGAAGATCAACACCTTCATCTCTGAGATGGTTGCTCAGTTCAGACGTGAATCTCAGCAGAAAGCCAGCAGCAGCAGCTCAGAGCAACAAGCTGCCAAACCAGGAGAAGTTCCCTGTGACGTCTGCACTGGACCCAGACTGAAGGCCCTGAAGTCCTGCCTGGTGTGTCTGACCTCCTACTGTCAGACTCACCTGGAGCCTCATCTGACAGCTACAAGTCTGAAAAGACATCAGCTGATTGAGCCTGTGGAGAACCTGGAAAGCAGGATGTGTAGGAAGCACATCTGGAGCTGTTCTGTAAGATCGACCAGACATGTGTCTGCATGCTCTGCTCTGTTTTAGATCACAAGGCTCATGAGTTTGTTCCTCTGAAAGAAGAATATGAAGGAAAGAAGGCAGAGCTGGAGAAGACAGAGGCTGAAATTCAGCAGATGATCCAGAAGAGACGACTGAAGATTCAGGAGATCAAAGAGTCGGTGAAGATGAGGAAAGATGCTGCAGACAGACAGAAAGCAGAAGGTGTTCAGGTCCTCACGGCTCTGATGGAGTCTGTTGAGAGACGCCTGAAGGAGCTCATAAAGGAGATCGAAGACAAACAGGAAACTACAGAGAAACAGGCTGAAGGACTCATCAAAGATCTGGAACAGGAAATCTCTGAGCTGATGGAGAGAAGCTCTGAGGTGGAGCAGCTCTCACGCTCTGAAGACCACCTCCACCTCCTCCAAAGCTTCTCCTCCCTGAAAGCTGCTCTATGCACCAAGGACTGGACAGAGGTCAGAGTCCGTCCACCATCATATGAGGGGACTGTGGGGAGAGCTGTGGAGACACTCAGGAAAGACATGAAGAAGCTGTTTGAGGCTGCAGAGCTGAAGAGGGTCCAGCAGGATGCAGTGGACGTGACTCTGGATCCTGATACAGCAAATCCTGACCTCATCCTGTCTGACGATGGAAAACAAGTGAATCATGGTGATGTGAGGAGGAAACTTCCGGACAACCCAGAGAGATTTTCTCAGTGTGTTTGTGTTTTAGGAGAGCAGAGTTTCTCTTCAGGCAGATTTTACTTTGAGGTTCAGGTTAAAGGAAAAACTAAATGGACTTTAGGAGTGTCCACAGAGTCGATCAACAGGAAGGGAAAAATCAGACTGAGACCTCAGAACGGTCTCTGGACTGTTTGTCTGAGAAATGGAAGTGAGTACAAAGCTTGTGCCGCCCCTCCGGTCCGTCTCTCTCTCCGGTCTGGTCCTCAGAAGGTGGGGGTGTTTGTGGACTATGAGGAGGGTCTAGTCTCCTTCTATGACGTAGATGCTGCAGCTCTGATCTACTCGTTCACTGGCTGCTCCTTCACAGAGAAGCTCCACCCGTACTTGAATCCGTGTAATAATGATGATGGTAAGAACGCTGCACCTCTGCTGATCACTGCTGTCGATCTCATTCTGTGTGAAGACCGTCTGGATTAAGAACATTCACTGATAACACTCGATGAGTTTGGTGTTCGTGTCACACAGTGGAAAATTGTTTTTATATTTTGTTTTGGATCAGGCTGTTTATTGGTACATAGTGTTGATTTTATTTGCATGGTTTTATCCTCATATTTATATTGTGTATTTTAGTTTTGTTGCACAATATTCTTTTAATCCACTGTGGACTAAGCAGACCTGTAGGCACCTGTGAGGCGGGGCGTTCCCCGAGCCGGCCTATCAGCCGCCAAACTGACCTGCTAAAGGGGATAGTGAGAGAGCGATGCACGAAAGGTGAGCAGGAGAAAAAAGAAACGTGTTCAAGCCAGCATGTGTGTCGAAGGACCTGCTGCCTGACTGTGGGGTGCCACGAGTCGTTCGGCAACGGACTGGCCAGCGGAACATGGCGATCCAGTCCCAACGGCAGGAACAGCGACAGTGGGTGGCGATGCCCGCAATCCACAGCAGGGCAGGGGTGTCCCTCTGCCTGCATCTGGCGGTGCTACGAGGGAGGCCGTGTTCAGGTGTGGAGTGGGGCGGGACTGTGCAGTGACGCGCTGTCAGGAGAAGACAGGTCTGCGACAGGAGCCCCCTCCTTGTTCTTCTGGCCGGTGTGGTTTCCATCCCGGAAGAGAAATTCCTCTCCTGTTTCAGATAAGGACCATTTGCCCGCGTGTGGCTGGACTGTGGGATTATGGCACTGTGGGGGGGAAACATTTGTGTAGCTTTTGTTTTGATAGTATATAGTTATTTCTGCCGGCAGGGTTTTTAGCGTGTTGGAAACTCTTTATTGTATAGGGGGATTTTAAACTGTATTTGTGATTCTGGTTGTGTCTGTGTTCCCATGGAAATAAAGGGTGTGTTTAAGGCCCTGAGCGCCGACCCACTCACTCCCCTTCTTCTTGTATGTGAACGGACTTTGAGGTGAAGATTTATATCCAGCACTTTCAGCGGCTACATTCATATCATTGATCTCACACGTACAGTACATTGTTTAAAAATGGAAATAATCTGTAAAATTCTGTAAAAATAAAACAAAACAAACAAATAATCTGACAGAAAAATATCGTACAGCAGTGGAACTTAACAGTTTGTAATTTTGGTAATTAAAATATGGAGAAGTTTTTTTTATGGTACAGAAAATATATTTGTAGCTTTAAATTTACATGAAATCTTTCAAATAAAAAGTATTTACATGTGTAAAGACGACACATTTACCCTCAGTGTGGTTCAACACTGTAATACAGTAATCAGGTGTATTAGTCTGTTTTTATAGTAAAGAATCTCATAGTTTTATTAGAGTCTGAATTTATTAAAATGTTATACTACCCATAAAAAAATGTCAGCATGTTGTTTTTTTAAATGGGAAATGTCATCCGTCCATCCATCCATTCGCTTCCGCTTATCCTTTTCAGGATCACGGGGGGCGCTGGAGCCTATCCCAGCTGTCACAGGGCGAGAGGCGGGTACACCCTGGACATGTCGCCAGTCTGTCGCAGGGCTAACACACAGGGACAAACAACCATTCACACTCACATTCACACTCACATTCACACCTAGTGGCAATTTGGGTTATCCAATCAACCTGTCCCCACCAGCTGCATGTCTTTGGACGGTGGGAGGAAGCCGGAGTACCCGGAGGGAACCCACGCAAACACGGGGAGAACATGCAAACTCCACACAGAAAGACCCCGGCCTGATGGTGGAATTGAACTCAGGACCTTCTTGCTGTGCGGCAACAGTGCTAACCACCGTGCCACCGTGGGAAATGTGTTTAAATAAAAACTTTTGTATATTTTATAGTCTGTTTAAAACCTTAATCGATCTACTGTTTTAAAAACATCTGAAGAGACAGATGAGAGACCCCACCCGCACCTACGGTCACGAGCTGTGGGATCGGTCACTACCCACAGCGCGTGATCGTAGGTGAGGGTAGGGACGTAGATCGACCTCCAAATCGAGAGCTTCGCTTTTACACTCAGCTCTCTTCACCACGACGGACCGGTGCAGCGTCCGCATCGCTGCAGCAGCAGCACCAGTCCGTCTGTCGATCTCCCGCCCCCCTCTCCCGTCACTCGTGAACAAGACCGAGATATTTAAACTCCTCCACTTGGACCAGGAACTCGTCCCCACCCGGAGTGGGCACTCCACCCTTTCCCAGCTGAGGGCATCCTTAAAATGTTTATGGTGCAAACTCAGCTTTTGGAATATCCAAGAAGAAAGCATGTGTACTAAACCAACTACTGAGTGCAAGAAGAGCTAAAAGCTCACTGACATCACCTCAGTCGTAGCTTTGCTAGCAAGCACACGGTCCTGTCATCATGAGAGGAAGACTCAGTTTAATATGTAGCTGGTGACGCGACGTGGCTGCTCAGAGCGTCAGTGTCTGCAGACAGAGTGATCTAATGGTACAAAGCTTGGGTTTGGTATACTCACCCTGCAGATGCAATGTGTGGTGCTGTTTCTCCAGAGTTTTGCTTGTTGTTGGTTATTTAAAGTCTCCACCTTCTCTGGATTCGGAGTTTCCTCCTCTTCCTCAGCCCTAGCTACATGTGCAAGTACTGTGACTGTAACTTTACTGACGTCTGCAGCACGAACACATTATGGAGAAAGAGAGGGAACAAGGATGTGTGCAGGCCGTAAATGGTATAAAAGCTGCTTCAAGCTTTAAATAAATTCCACTAAAGATCCAAACCTGCTGTGGGACGGACACAGATACGCTGTGAAGGAGCCGTAACTCAAACGGCTGCTCGGCCTCCACAGAGGAAGAAGGTGAGGACGCGAGTTTTTCTCTTTAATATGGATTTACTGAGATCGTTTACATCAGTGGATACAGGAAACACACAGCGACGTACAGACACACCACAGGCTACAGTGTACCAGTTAAAAAGGAGACGAGCTCCTTAGAGCCAATCACAGATGTCACGCCTCTCCTTTCAAAGTTCGTCTTCAGTGCATCAGTTAAAGTCAAACTTCTCCAACCATAAACCAGCAGTGGACGGAGGAGGTGTCGGTCAGAGTCCCAGTTATGAGCAGGAGGAGGAAGTGGAGCCAGTTTATCACCAGCTCCCAGTAACAGAGATCCAGCTCTCACACACACACACACACACACACACACACACACACACACACACACACACACACACACCTCCAAACCTGCTGCTCGTCCAATGTGGGAATGTACAGAGTTACAGATGATTAAAGTTTAGAGGAACACTGCTCTGAGCTCATCATTTCCACTTTGTCATCTGAAGGACCGACAGCATCAGCTCCTCACACGGCAAAATCTAAATAAAGTTTAATAAAATCAAATAAAGCACAAAAAAGTCTAAAATCAAAAATAAACACTGACCTGTTTGTTCTTCAGTCCCTTTAAACCTTTGAAATAAACGTGTCGTTAAGAAGGCGATGAGAAAGTGAACGATCGGTGTGTGTCTGTGTCTATATGTGTGTGTGTGTGTGTGTCAGTGTGTGTGTGTGTGTCTATATGTGTGTCAGTGTGTGTGTGTGTGTGTCAGTGTGTGTGTGTGTGTGTGTGTGTCAGTGTGTGTGTGTGTGTCTGTGTGTCTATGTGTGTGTCAGTGTGTGTGTGTGTGTCTATATGTGTGTGTGTGTCTATATGTGTGTCAGTGTGTGTCAGTGTGTGTGTGTGTGTGTCTATGTGTGTGTGTGTCTATATGTGTGTGTGTGTGTGTGTCAGTGTGTGTGTGTGTGTCTATATGTGTGTGTGTGTGTGTGTCAGTGTGTGTGTGTGTGTCTATATGTGTGTGTGTGTGTGTCAGTGTGTGTGTGTGTGTCAGTGTGTGTGTGTGTGTCAGTGTGTGTGTGTGTGTTGGAGCATTTCAGTCAGAGTGTGTTTGTGGGGTTTCTGTGTTATTGTGACAGTTTAAACTACGTTTGTCTCTAATAAAAAAATCTCCCCGGTGTTCCCAAAGTAACTGTGGTAGAAGCCCCGCCCACCAGGGGCTTAAAGGGGGCGGGCCATTTTGAACTGAATCAAAGCTGCTCTAGCAGCACTTCAGTGTTCAGACTGAGCAGACGGCTGATCCAGGATCAGACTGAAGCCCTCTGAGGAAACGGCCGCCTGTCGTCCACACAAATACGACCCCACAGGCGTGATTGCTGTGACGAGCTAACGAGGGCCACGCTGAACACGTACAGCAGGTCAGCTTCATGATCTACAGTGAAACCTTTATGCCTGTTATGCCGCGCTGCAGGATGAGGAAGACTGGGTGGAAACAAGTTTTCAGACTCTTCAGTGGAGAGAAGAAGAGACAATAACTCGTGTTTGTTCTGATCGCTTTAAACTCGTGTGCATCTGACTTCCTGTCACTGTGCAATCGTGCGTTTCAGTACAAATGTCAGTAACCTAAAAACATTTAAATTGAAGCAGCCTGTCTGTTCTGTGAACCAAAAACGTTAAACCGTGTTTTCACCTCCGTCTCAAACGCCGCCGAGGTTTCTCCCTTTAACCTGGAAACGTCACCTCGCCGTCCTGTGAATAAATATTAATAAAAGCCAGCGGAGTCCCTTTGATCCGGTCCGTGTCACTCCAAGTCCGGGTCCTTGCCGACATCACCGCCGCTGGATGAGCGGCTGCTGAGGTCAGCCACGCCCGACTCCAGGTCGCTGCAGGTGGAGAGGTCATCGGGGTCGTGACTCTTGAGCTGGGTATGTGGCCCTAAGGGCAGGGAGAGTGCGGGCTCCTTGGTGTGAGTCTTCTGATTGGCTGGTGCAGAGGAAAGTGTGTGACTGCTGTCCTGTGCGAGGCTGGCGATTGGCTCTCTGTATAAGGTGGGCGGGTCCGGCCCGCTGTGCCTCTGCGGCAGGCAGCTAGTCCTCCTCCGGGGAACCTCGATCTTCTCCCAGGTGATCGGCTTCCCCGTCAGCTCTGCGATCCGCTGCACAGAGACAAGAAGCTTACAATCAGCTGACAGGACTCGTAACTGGAAAAACTTTATTAACACTCAGAGAGTTACAGGTTAGAACGAGGCTGCAGCCCAGCTGCAGTTCCCCTCACGTCCACTAGAGGCTCCAGCAGTGACTCAGTCCCATAGACTCTTATGTTAAAACTTTACAGAAGAAACAAAGGTGTTTTTAACATGACGTAGCTGCTAGCTGTCTGACTTCACCTCAGCTAACCCTGAACTTGACCTCTGCACCGTGTTTGTGCTGTTGCAGCTTTTTAATGACATCGCCTGACCAATAATGTGTCGGCTGTGAGGTTACTGGACTAACAGACTGTCCAATGAGATGTTACTGAGCGCTAACATCAGGTATGTGTGACACAGTCTATGGTGGCCAAATACAGTAACCTTTACGCAACCCAGCAGGGCGGCTAATGCTAACATGCTAATGTCCAATTCTGAGATGTAGAGCCAGTTTCCTTCTTTTATATACAGTCTTTGCTTCCAACATAAGACATTTAAAAAAAATTAATCTAGAAACTTCTGCAGATTTTTTAAAATTGGTTTAATAGCTGCTGAATGATTTTTAATTTTTGGGGTAAAAAGTTTTAAAAAGTAGACGGTCGCAGTTTAAGCAGCGAAGCTGAAGTTAACGATCTGTGCTGGTGTCATAACAGGCGTGTCGTGTGTTGTATGCCTTGTCTGGAGCCCGGGTGGTGGTGGTGGGCGGTTCCTCCTGGCGGTACCTCCTGGTGATTGGTCAGCTCCTCTTCCAGCTGCTGGGACTCCTCCCTCACGGCAGACAGGAAGTCGGCAGGTGACTGGCGGGGAGGCGTCGATTTCTCAGCGTGGTTATAGAGACCCTTCCACATCCTGGAGGAGAATAAATGTGAAATATAAAAGCAGAGAAACTCTCCGCCTGTTTCAGGGACTCAGGCAAACAAAACAAATGCACAAAACCAGCAGCTCAGTGCAGCTTCCTTTAACCCTTTAAAGCCGGAAGTGACGTCATTTTCGCGGAAAATGTAGTTGTTTTTTTTACCTTCGGGGCCTTATGAGCCTATACCGGTGTTTTTGAAAGTCATGTTTGACTTTTTGCTTTTCTGAATAGTTTCTGGGATGCTTAGGACTCAAGTTGCACTGCTGGAAACAGTTTATTTTGATGCATATGCTGTTTTTTTTTTGCAAATTTGCATTATAATATTTATTTCCGTTTTTCCAGCAGTGTATAAAAATTGGTGCATCTCAAAAATAAAACTATGAAGACACTCAAAATACATTTCCTGTTGTTAGAAACTATTTTGTGCAACTTTTTGGTATTTACAGTTTTGAGGGACAAACCTCTTAAATTTCTCTAACTAGAAATATATGCAAAAAACAACAACAACAACATTCAATTTTTTTGTAGTTTATCTAGTTATTATTCACTTAATGCATACATATGATCAATATTTGGACTATAACGGTTATATTGATGTATAGCAACTTGAAATGCTCCCACAAGTAAGAAAGAATATTAACACATTATTGGAGCAAAGCAGAAGTAACACACAAGAAACATGGAGGATATTAAACAGTAAAATCAAAAAGGGCTCAAAAAAATAAGAATTATCCAGATTATTTAAAAAAAGATAAAGATATTGTGCTTGATAAAACTAAAGACATTGCAAATGAATTTAATGATTTCTTTGTAAATGTTGGCTTTAATTTAGCAAAAGAAATTCCAGAGTCAAGAAATAAAAACAGAGATGTCAGTTCACCAATTACAGGCCAATATCTCTGCTCCCACAGTTCTCAAAAATTTTAGAAAAGTTATTTGTTAATAGACTTGATAAATATATGGAGAAGCATCATCTCCTAAGTGATAACCAACATGGCTTTAGAGTGAAAAGGTCCACTTCGATGGCAGTGATGGAACTTGTTGAAGGGATATCTACTGCTATAGATAATAAGGAATATACTGTTGGTGTTTTTATAGACTTAAAAAAGGCGTTTGATACAATTGATCTATATTAATGAATAAACTAGAGAGATATGGCATAAGAGGGATGGCATACAAGTGGATGACAAGTTACCTGGATGACAGAAATCAATAATGTAAAATCTAAGCAGTTGAAGGTAACTTGTGGTGTTCCTCAGGGCTCTGTGCTGGGCCCCAAATTATTCATATTACATATAAATGACATATGTAATGTTTCCAAACTGTTAAAATGTGTATTGTTTGCTGATGACACCACTCTGTACTGCTCAGGTAAAAACCCAGAACAGCTTCTGACTGCAGCGGAAAAAGAGTTAAATATATTAAAAAACTGGTTTGATGTAAATAAGTTATCGTTACATATAAAGAAAACAAAAAGTATTATTTTGGCACTAGACAAATGAAAAATGTATCCAAAATCAGGGTTAATGGAATTGAAATTGAAAGAGTGCACGAGAATAAATTTCTTGGAGTGATGATTGATGATCAGCTGGAAGTCTCATACAAACCACTGATTTTCTCTACAAAACAAACATGACCTGAACAAGAAATTTGATTCGCCTTGTCTCGTGCTGTCTTGCTTTGTGGTAATCTTTATTCTGTATTCACTGAATATTTGAATGCTGATCAATAAATCAAAACAAGTGTCCCTACAGCATGTAAGAATATAAGGATAATTCTGGCAGACTTGGTTCTATGGTAGGTCTTAAAGGGTGAACCTGCTGCTGCTTAAATAAATTAATTTAACAGGAATCGTCATGTTTCCAGCTAAGCTATCAGGATCCACAGAATCACTGCTGGGAATCGCAGCCGGCTGGACTGGACCAGGACTACACTTCCTGTTTTGTGAGGGAGAACGCAGTTGTGTTGGCGTTTTTGCTGCAGTGACTCACTTGAAGCAGTAGGGGGAGGTGTTGGGTCTCAGCACGCCCTGACTCTGGCTCTGCTCGGCCTTGTACAGAGGGTTGGTGTACTCGCCTCGGTCCTTCCACAGCTGAGGCCACACCGAGTGAGTGCGCTCATGAAGCCTGCAGACACACATCGCACAGCCTTTACCTCCGTGACACAGATACGAATAAAACTGGATTATAAGCGGCGTGCTCGCCGTCGCCTGTGGACACGAGCTGTTGTAGCGATGAAAACATCTGTGGTCTGTGACGAGGAGTGGCAGGTGATGAACGACGGACGGTTCCTCATTAAAAACATTCAAGGTTTCTGCACTTCCTGTTTCTTACTTCCTTAAATAAAAACGAGCAGCGGGCAGATATCCACGCAGACGGGACTGCGACGACATCAGACCATGAGCACATTCTGTCCAGTTTCAGAAACTCATCTCGTTTAAATAAAAGCTACGACGGCTGATTTCCTTTAACACAGGAGAGGGAGCTCCTCGAGGGCCGGCGTCCTGCAGCTCTCAGACGCGTCTTTCGTCCAACGCGGCTGATTTAAAGGTCTTGAGTTCTCCAGAGGCCCAGTAATGAACTAATCATGTGATGCAGGTGTGCTGACCCAGGGTGCGATCTAACACCTGCAGGACGCCGGCGCTCGAGGCCTGGAGTTCCCACAGGATCAGTCGCTGGTTTCTACTTTTTCCTCTTTGCATCCGTCACATAAACAGGACTGATTTCTTAAATCTATTCAGACCCTGAAAAGCCGACTCGCCTGCTCACAGTAAGAGCCCGTGAATCCGGGACGCTCGTGCTCACCTCATGTCCCGACGCTCCTTCTGGCTGTTTCCCAGGAAGGTCCCGTACTGACACGAGTACACGTGAGTGTGGATGGCGATGAGGAAGCGCTCGTTGAACTCAAAGGCACACGGGAACTGCTCTGACAGCTGCCACACGCACTCCAGGAACTGGTCGATGACGGGGGACACCTCTTTGGGATCTCTGTCCAGGTGAGCGTACCTGCGGGGCACAGAGCAATTTTCATGTGTTCAATCAGGTAAAGAGCAAATATGAACGAGTAATTAAACTGCTGATGCTCTCGTTGAACGTCAGCTGTACAGGTAAGCTTGACATCACTAACAGAAACTAATGAACCGTCATCACGTCTCATGTCTCACGTTTACTGGAGTCTGTGCTCACGTCTCTACAATCATGAGATTGAAACATTAGAACTGAGGTTCTGCTGCTTTGAAGTGAAAGTCGTTTGGATTGTTTGGACCAACCCTCGCCTTCAGCGTCTCTTTCAGTTTCAACCTCGGAGCTCGTTACAGAACTGGCACTGCTGCCCTCTTCTTCTTTCTCATGGTTTCCCACACCGTAGGACCAAAGTGTCTGAAACGTCTTTATCGTGGACTAAATGTGGACAGAAAGATGCAAGAGAAGCGTCCGAATGAGACCAGACTCAAAGTTACTGACCTGTGTGAGAACTTGTGGCCAAACGACACCCAGTCTCTCTGTATCAGCACCTAGAAGAAGAAGAGGAGGAGGTATGGATGTGAGACGTCAGAGGAAGAACAGGCGATGGTCAGCGCGGCCGTCTGCGTTACCATGAGGCCTCTGATGGTCCTGTAGTACGGGTCCAGCAGGATACTGGCCACAGAGCAGGCCTGGGCGGTCCTGTCCCAGCCGTCTGAGCAGTGAACCAGCACGCTGACGCCTTCGTCCGCCACCGCCTGGAGAGAGCGCAGAGAGCAGGAGTCTGACTTTAGTGCCTGATGGAGCTGCGACTGCTGAACCTGACCTGATGTAATGACCACGTTTTAAAAAAAACGACGGGTTACCGTGAGGCGAGCTGGCAACGGGTGTTTTTTTTAGTTTAGCAAATCCAATCAGAGCATGGAGGCTGCGCTCAGGTGTGCACAGCTCTACCTGTGGATGCATTTACATGCAGCGTAGTAAAGCCACGCTGGGCGACCTCCACCACAAACAGCAGCACAGCGTCCACTGTGACCATCCCCACCGCGAGGCCCCGACTTCGTATCATTAACAACGTTTAAGTTTCTCACGTCTGATAAATAAAGCCGTGACATCATCCATCGGTCTGATTACGAAGCATCAACTGACTGACTGAGGGGGGTCCCACCTGACTGAGACCCCACCCCCGAGCAACCGCTAGTTATTAAAGCATTAGCTCTGCTGAGCGTGTGCGAGTGCGTACACACACCCGGGCTACGAAGACGCCGGCATCCAGTATGGCTTTGATGTGTTTGAGCCAACCAGAGTTCTCCAGCCCCCACAGGAAGTCTGTCACGGACGGAGATCGCATTTCCCCCACTGAGAGAGAGAGAGAGAGAGCGAGAGCGAGAGCGAGAGCGAGAGAGAGCGAGAGAGAGAGAGCGAGCGAGCGAGAGAGAGAGCGAGAGAGAGCGAGAGAGAGAGAGCGAGAGAGAGAGAGCGAGAGAGAGAGAGCGCGAGAGAGAGAGAGCGAGAGAGAGAGCGCGCGAGAGAGAGAGAGCGAGAGAGAGCGTGAGAGAGAGAGCGAGAGAGCGAGGGAGAGAGGAGAGAGCGAGCGAGAGGAGAGAGAGCGAGAGAGAGAGCGAGAGAGGAGAGAGAGAGCGAGAGAGAGAGGAGAGAGCGAGAGAGAGAGGAGAGAGCGAGAGAGAGAGAGAGAGAGAGCGAGAGAGCGAGAGAGAGAGAGAGAGAGAGAGAGAGAGAGAGAGAGAGAGAGAGCGAGAGCGAGAGAGAGCGAGAGAGAGAGAGAGAGAGAGAGAGAGAGAGAGAGAGAGCGAGAGAGAGCGAGAGAGAGAGAGAGAGAGAGCGAGAGAGAGCGAGAGAGAGCGAGAGAGACTGCGAGAGAGAGAGCGAGAGAGACTGCGAGAGAGCGAGAGAGAGAGAGAGAGAGAGAGCGAGAGAGAGAGCGAGAGAGAGAGCGAGAGAGAGAGAGAGAGAGAGAGAGAGAGAGCGAGAGAGAGAGCGAGAGAGAGCGAGAGAGAGAGAGAGAGAGAGAGAGAGCGAGAGAGAGCGAGAGAGAGAGCGAGAGAGAGAGCGAGAGAGAGCGAGAGAGAGAGCGAGAGCGAGAGCGAGAAAGAGAGAGAGAGAGGAAAAATATGCAGTCAGAGGAAGTCTGTATTTACTGATCGTTTGGGAAGCTGAACATTTCTTCCTCATTACTGTTTGTTTACCACACACACACACACACACACACACACACACACACACACACACACACACACACGGTTACCGTCGACGATCTTCTGCTGGCTGCTCCTCATCACGTGAATGTTTTCGATGCCGATGAACTGCAGCTTGATGTTGGTGTAGTGGTCCTCGTTCTCGTAGCCTTTACCTGCCGCTCGATTCGCCATCGCGTTCAGCTGCACGCACACACACTCCGTTAGTCACAACACCTCTTCGTGTGTGTGTGTGTGTGTGTGTGTGTGTGTGTGTGTGTGTGTGTGTGTGTGTGTGTGTGTGTGTGTGTGTGTGTGTGTGTGTGTGTGTGTGTGTTACCTTGGGCCTGGTATCCACCACGTAGATGTAGTCACTTCCAGGGTTGGACTTCATCAGCGCCTGCAGCATCATCTCGTCCTCCTGACAGCGCCCGCTGAAGCCCGACAGCGGCTGACTGCAGCGGCACACGGCGGCCTGCAGAGCGAAGAACACACTCAGAATCCCACCTTCGTGTGTGTGTGTGTGTGTGTGTGTGTCTATTTAGTGCCCGTTCTCACGAGCTTGAAGCATTTTTGAGACTCAGAACGTGGTTTTGGTGTCAGGGTGACAGTTGGTTCATGGTTAGTCAGGATATTGTGGCTTAGTTATACTGGTTTTAAGCTCAGGTGCACAGTGCAAGCGGCCGACTGGACCCTTGTTCTTCCTTCAATCTCACAGTGAGACTTATGTGCTCTTCCTTTGTTTGCATCATGCGTTCGGCTGTGTTAACCTTGGCCATCTCATCCACAGTCTTACATATGCCCATACACATGGAGGGAATACAGAGCTTTTAATCCCCGTTTGTTGTCAGGGTGACAGTTAGTTTATGGTGAGGTTTAAGGTAAGCAGCTAAAGCATAATGTCAATGAGATGTCCCCACGAGGATATAAATACAAACGTGTGTGTGTGTCTGACCAGTGTGTCCTGGTGGAAGTACGACAAAGCAGGAAATCGTCCTCGACTTCTGAACCTCGAGCTGCCCACGATGATGGCGGGCGTGGCCGACTTTGGAACAAACAGCTCTGAAGGGTATGTATCACACACCTGCAGGACACACACACGCACACACACGCACACGCACGCACACACACACACACACACACGCACGCACACACACACACACACACACACACTGTTTAAGCTCATATGGTGCATTTTAAACATCCTGTTACGATGACTCGGCCAAGCCGCTCAGCTGGTTCCAGCACAAACGCCGCAGACTGAGACAAACAGCTGCTTTGCTAAAACCGTCCCTCTGAGAATATTCACCGCTCCTTCCTGATGAAATATTCAGAGACCGTCAACACCACAGGTGACCTGGGAGCCTGACTGGACCCTGAGCTGGAGGGTGGTGCTGTGACGTAGCTGTTGATAAGCTGTGAGTGAGGCTTGTTTGAGCTAATCTACCAAACCTTATAAAAACTACTGACTGACTTAAAGAGAAACATTCACAGGTTTAGATCGCAGCAGAGACGAAGCTCTGCAAACACATGAAACGAGGAAAACACCTTCATCAGTCTGAGCGCGCAGACAGCAACGCTTAAACGTGATGAACCGAGTCTGAATATGGTGAGTGCAGTCAGACTGAGGGGGACGGCCTCTGGAGGCGCCGAGCTCTCAGAGCCGTCGGCGTATAAACAGCAGCTTCACGTCAAAGTGCAGAAATGTACTCGTTATCTCTCAAACAGTTAACATTGTGTCACATGATCATGACTGACCCTGTATTCACTGTTTGCTGCCGTGGCAACCCACAGGTTGTTAGGGACGCCCATCCTCTTGTAGTCGGCCGCGAGGTCGATGAAGTTCCACGACTCCTCCCTCTCCTCTTTGTTCACGTTGGGGTTAAAGGACAGACAGTACAGCTCGCTGTACTTCTCTGAGAGGAGACGAGGAATTAAAAATCTGTGTTTTACATGTGCGCACGCACGCACGCACACGCACGCACACACGCACGCACGCACGCACACGCGCGCGCACACACACACGCACACCTGGCCGTGACAGTCTGGCCAATGAGGCGTGGACGTCCAAGCAGTCTCTCTCCTGTGGAATGAATATCTGGAAGATCTGGAAGTCCTTACAGCGAAGGATCAGCTGACCTCCTGAGGAGGTGGTGGGCGGCCTCTCCACGCTGCTCACCATGCTGTGCAATACCTGTAACACACACACACACAGTTACTTCCTGTAGACCTGCGTCACCAAGCACAGCACATTACTGTAAAGCACACCCATCATGGAGATGAGCAGCCCGCCGTGGCCTTGTTAGCGTAGCCTCTCAGATTTCCTAACAGGAAGTGCCCGGCCCACAGGAAGTACAGCTGTGCTGTGTTCTTCTCCTCATTCCTTGTTTATACCTCACAGCGCTGGGATAGGACTGATCATTTTGGGCTGCTGGGGTCACAAACCTCATGAAACGTTGCTCCAGCTCTGCCTCTGATAGGCCGGTGCGCCTCTGTGGTGGTTGGAGGAGAAGCTGCGTTCACTGTCGGCCGTTTGTGTTTGTATTCATAGTTTCTTTGGGTTTTTTTGGACTATTTGGAGGGAAGAATTATGGGAATTCAACCAACATGAGATAAAAGACACGTGTGGAGGTTGAGACCAACACTGAACCATGACGTGAACTGGTTTGGGTCAGAGCCAATCAGACGCAGCATAGTTTTAATGAAGAACAAAATTAGGTGCTGTGCTGTGAAGGAGAGCTAATCTACACCTCGCTCTGACTCTGTCCTTTGTTTCTGCTAATCCAGCCAGCAGTCTGAGCCTGCTGAGTGAAATGTGACACGCCTGCATCTCTTCATCATCCACTCAGGTCCATGGGGACGAGGCGGACTCCTAAGAGGGGGGAGGGTGGCATCTTTTCTTCCCGTGTCTGGAAAACCACCCAGCCTGGAATTCTGTGAAAACACCGCACACCACTGATATCAGTGATCCCAGATGAAGCTGCGCCGCTCCTCATCACGATGAATGTGCAGCTAACAGCAGAGGAGACGAGGAGCTGCATAAACACAGATTATTATTTTTCTTTCACTGCTTCTGCTCAGACAGGATTCACCAAACTGGCAGGAAATATCTGCCTGCATGACAAATTCCTGCTTTTAAAACAGAAATATGAATCTGAATGAGAACTCTGTGCACAGCGTCTGAAAGCTGCTCCTTTAATCTGAGCATAAAAACCTTTAATTCTCGCTTCCACTCTGAGGATCCATATTTAACCTCCTTCTTTCAGGGCTTTGTGATTAATATGAAGCTCTCCAGCAGCTTTCACTGTCAGATAAATGTTTCTCTGTGGATCACATTTCTGTCGTGTGCATCTCTGCAGCCCGACACACGCAGCTGGATAAATCCAGGCTCTACAGATGGCGTCCAAATTTATTCTCAGACTCCACATTTCTGGTATACTGGCTGATGCTTCAGCCTCTGAAACCTGCCTGCAGGGTTAACATCTCCACTTTTACAGCAGAACTAATCATGTTTACAGGCTGCTGCACAAACCTGTGTGGTCTTTGTGCTGTTGGAGCCTTTTTAATGCAATTATCTGAACAACCAGCCAAGAAGTCTGAGTGAAACTCAGGGTTTTATTGGGACGTTACTGAGCACTGACAGCAGCTGTGTGTTCCCTGGTACGACTTTCTAACGTTCTTTTATCCAAATATGGCGTCTTCCATCTGTGACGCGGCCTGCTGCAGCTCTCACTGCGTCCCGGCTTCACCTCATACTAATCTTTTTTTTTTTCTGTCCCGTTTGGTTCTTTAGCCGTCAGAATTGTTGTCTGAAGACCAACAAGGAGACCCGATGGATTTGCCGTATTGGTCCATTTGATCGACCTTTGTTGTTATTATTTATTTTATTTTATTTTCAGTTGTTACAGACGGGACAGACATGAGTGAGGGATAGGAAAGGGAGAAAGAAAGAGGAAAGAAAAGATGAACAGGAGGGAAGAGGGACCGTGAGAAAGGAAACTTAAAAAGAGAAAGAAGAGAAAACAAGCAAAACAACAGAGCAACATACTAAACACAACAGCATCATGTTAATCTAGCTGAGTGTAAACAGCAGTAAATGCTAAATATTGAATGTTGTTGTGTAGCAAGCAGGACCGACAGCGCACAATGTGCTGGGAAATAGCACCAACAGTGCCTCATACTAATCTGAGAGCTCCACAGGTAACAATGTGGCCGTGGCTGAAGGCGGGTACGATTATTATTCAAGCTGTTGCAGGTTACCCATGTCTCCTTGCGCGTCTCCGGGTTGTTCTCCACAAAGATGGCGTGCGTGGCAGAGAGGTACAGAGTCCCGACGCTGGCCTTTCTCTGGCCTGACGACCGGTCCAGCAGACGGACGTTTTCCACCTGAACAAAGTCAGAGACGCACACGTCAACCACGTCCACTGATCAAAGCATCCTCTGTGTCTGCATGACGCTCTGTGCAATCCAGAGATTTTCCTCCAGATCACCTGAGAGGTGAGCATGTGCTCAAGCTTTAAATGCATTATTATTCACAAAAAGGCCAAAAACTGGGAAAATGCACAGACTGTCTCCTTGAACTACAGGCTGAAGGCCCGTTTAAGCCGCGTGATCTCCACAGTGGGTCTAAAACTGTGACATCCGGTGCAGAGCAGGTAAATCTGGTTGTGTACGCAGAGAAAAGCCCTTTGCAGCTAGCTTTTATTAATAAGTATTATATAAATATTTCCGTAGTGTCAGGCAGACTGTGTGAGGACCGCTAACTCTCCCCAACCCTCCATAAACAGATGATGATGATGATGCGTTTTAAAGGAGAAAGGAGTCATATGAGGAGGAAGATGGAGGTCAGCAGCGCAGTGCTGACTCATGCATGTGCAGATGTGCTCGTGCTGATTATTAAGAATAATAATTAAGATGAAACTAACGGGCTGCGTGGGAGCACCCTTACAGCCACACGCGGCAGGTGTTTACGGCTAACGTCGGGGCTGTTTCCATTATCGGACACGCAGTGTTAGCCTCTCACGTTCTGCCGGTCGCGCGAGCCGCCTCCGGTGCTCTTCATCATCATTTATTTATTTTATTTTATTTATTTAAATATGATCTTACCTTCGGTGTCCGTATGTGCTCCATCACTGCCGGCTGACACAGCAGAGGTGGAGGAGGTGATGGAGACAGTGGCCCGACGTTTTCCTTTATCCTCGCCAGCGGTTAAATTCCCTGCTTCACGCCGACAGATGAGCCGTGTTCCCCGCTGCGGCTGCTCCAGAGCTGCCCCGGAGCGACTCCCATGACTTCCGTCCCTGCGTGTCCCGGTTCGGTTAGCCTAAACGACACAAAACCGAGTCCGTGTCACCGTAGACCGCCAGCACCCGAGCTCCCACCGCTTCTCCCGGCCGCTAACAGAGCCCCTTATAGCTGCTCCCGACACCACCATCACGTCAGCATTCACAACATCCGGTGATGCCTTTCAAAATAAAATGTCGACTAATACACGTTCCTTAACATTAGCAGCAGCGGCAGTCCATCTTTAATGAAAGGTGCTGTTTAAAAACTTTTATTCGTATAACTTTTACAACTTCTTAAAATATTATTTTTGAATTGATTGATTTATGGTGAGATCAAAAGGAAACCTGCGGTTTATTTTGAAAGGTAAAAAGTGTTTTTCTTTCTTATTTTGGTGAACTTGATTTACATGTCGTGCCAGGCTCGTGCGCGCTAAACCGCAAGGGCGCGTGCGCAAACCTCACCTTGTATTTTGTTTGTTTGTTTGTTTCTGATGTAATGATCGTGTTTTTGTGTTTCCTTTATATAAATGTTTAGTATTTACTGCTGTGTCATATATTCAGACACCCCTGTCCTCTTTTGTCTCTTTGTATCACGCTACATTTCTCGCCTTATTTTGTAATTTTAATAACGTGTTTCTAAACTCGAGTGGGTTTATATTGGGTGCGGGGGGGATGCGTTAATTCCTCAAACTGACGCTGTTTTATTAAAGTGAGTTTGATTTAATGCTGTTTAAATATTTGTGTACATGTTTCGACATCTTTGTGAGGACAGAAAGTTAGCACGCTACTACACCCGCGTGACCAAACGTCACTTATGGGGACAAAGTGCCCGTCCTCACGAGTTTGGAGACATTTTTGAGGCTCAAAATGTGGTTTTAGAGTCAGGGTCACAGTTAATAATAATAATAATATTAACTGTAACCCTGGGTTACAGTTGGGTTATGGTTAGGATTAGGATTCATTTTTGATGGTTAGGGTAAGTGTGTGTGTGTGTGTGCGTGCGTGCGTGCGTGTGTGTGTGTGTGTGTGTGTGTGTGTGTGTGTGTGTGTGTGTGCGTGCGTGTGTGTGTATGTACGTGTGCGTGTGTGTGTGTGCGTGTGTGTGTGTGTGTGTGTGTGTGTGTGTGTGTGTGTGTGTGTGTGGCAGTCAGGTTTCAGTGTGACAAACAGTGAAATGGTGGTTATGATTTCATGTTATGAGCTCTAGAACAGAAGAAGAGCTGTTTACTGTGATCGTACATGTCGAACAACATTATGGCTGCTCTCTCTCTCTCTCTCTCTCTGAGGGTATTACAGAGGTTGTGATTTCACGTCTTGAACCTCTGGCCTGGAAAAGTTCTTTAAGGTCATTCAAGAAGCAGCTGAACTCGACCGGTTTCAGATGTTTGAACTGTCATTCAGAGCTGATAATTCATGAGTTCTCCGTGAGTTCTTCAGGACGAGGAGCCGGAGGAGCCATCAGTGGCTTTGTTTCCTGAGACCTGGATGACATCAGTGAAAGTTTTGTGTGTTTGTGCTGAAAATCATCTCAGAGCCTCTCATCCGTCTGGCTGATGAAGGCCACTCACATCATAATAAATAATAACAAAGCGGATAGTAACTAAGCTCAGAGAGGAACCCCTCGACAAACGGACTGAAACAAAATCAGAAATATAAATATGAAGTCTTCCTCCTGCCCTCCAGTGACTTCCAGTGACTGTTGCACACATGAATGACTTCCCACTTCCTGTCCCCGTGTGGACGCACAGAGGACACACACTGTTTGGACATCATGTGTAGAAACCACAGCAAAGATGTTGTGTGTCTGCCAGTATGACAGTGAGTCAGCACCGGGATGCTGAACTCTATCAGACGTGAAGTCTGGGGAGGACTGAGACATGTGAGTCCAGCCTGACACCCTGTGAGCGGTCAGACCCTGAGAGCTTGGATCAAACTGAGGTTAGTCTTCACTGCAGAATAAATCTGAGGACATTTTAACCTCACATCAATGGGGGAAGTTAATCCTCAGTCTCTGCTCATTTTCTGTCACACTATTCTGTTTAAACCTATCAGGAATAAGAATATTCAAACTCTTCTTTCCTACTGAGGAGAGGAACCAAAGAGCCATTTGTTATCCCTGAGCTTTAACATCATCACACGAGCAATCGTGGCTCAACAGTTGGCAGCCGTCTTGTAATCAGAAGGTTCGAGCCCGTTGTGTCCTTGGGCGAGACACTTCACCCGTTGCCTACTGGTGGTGGTCAGAGGTCAGAGGTCAGTGTCCGGCAGCCTCGCCTCTGTCACTGCGCCCCAGGGCGGCTGTGGCTACATGTAGCTTCATCACCAGTGTGTGAATGTGTGTGTGGATGACTGGATGTAGTGTAAAGCGCTGTACAAATACAGGCCATTTACATTGAGTGTGGGGTAAACCGTATCCTCTCTGGTCAGCTGGTCCTGGTGCCTCCTGGACCAGCCAAGAACATGAGGTCAGGAGGAGACTGAGAGCAGCGAACCCCAGGCAAACTGCCGGTCTCGACAGCATCCCAGGGACTGGTTAAAGCCCGCACAGACCAGCTGGCCGTGATCCTCACTGGGCTGTTCAACATCTCCCTGACTCACGCCATGGTTCCCACCTGGCTGAAGGCCTCCACATCATTTCCATCCCCAAAAAGCCAGCATAGACAGCCTCAATGACTACAGACGTCTGTAGTCATGAAGTGCTTCGAGCAGATAGTGCTCAGCACGTGAGAGACTGTCTACCCCCCTCCCTCAGCCCCCACCATGGAGGTGGATGCCATCACCGTCACCTTTCACAGAGCGCTGAGCCATGTGGAGAACATGAGGAGCTCTGTGACGATGCTCTGTGTGGGCTGCAGCTCAGTGTTCAGGACCATAATCCCAAACTATCCCCCGTCACCTGCTCCTGGATCAAACACTTCCTCACCCACTGGCCTAAATCAGTACGATTCAGCCCCCACCTCACCCCCCCTCTCAGCACCGGATCCCCACAGGGCTGCGTTCTCAGCCCCCTGGAGGCTGAGAATGGAGGTGCACACCAGCCCACCCAACCAATGTCATCAGTGAGTATGCTGCGGTTGGGCTCGTCTCTGATGGAGATGAGACAGTGTGGAGAACTTGTCCTGCTGGTGTTCAGAAAATAACCTGAAACCGAACGTCCTTAAAACCAAAGAACTCATCACAGACTTCAGGAGGCTCAGACAGCTGTGCCTTTCTATTATCTGGTATGTGTTCCTCTAGACTCTATATATTTCTTCTGTTTGCTCTTTATTCCTGATGTTATACTATTCATAATTTTTTACTCCTGCACAGTTAGTGTGGAGCACCCAGAATTTTGATGTACATGTACAATGACATTAAAGGGCTATTCTATTCTATTCTATTCTATTCTATTCTATTCTATTCTATTCTATTCTTCTAGTGAGTGTTATTACTTGCTGCTGATGGAACTGTTTGTAATGTAATGATCATGAAATAAATACAGCATATGTAGCAAAGATTTTTGTTTTTGTTTACACCTATGACATCACAGAGGCTTATCACTGGCTCTTACATGAACTCTAAAACACATAAAACATCCACCTGCGTGTCTCCATCCGGCCGCTAGAGGGCAGTATGACATATGAAACCCAGCAGGTGAGGCGTGAGTCCTGCGGAGTGCATCTGCAGCAAGCTGAAGAAATAAGAAGCACAAATGTAAAAGCCTTGCATGTTTCTTTTAGCAGCCTTTGAGCTTCAGCCACAGGTGAGCTGTGACATCTGGGCAACATCTGGCCCCGAGAACATGTGTCGGCTCTGGATGCAGGTTTGGACCAAATTTCAGAGCCCAGTCAAAGCTCCCAGCCTCGCTGGTGCCACAGCGTCCCGACTGCTCCTCTGGCCCGGATCATCACGGCCACATATTTGTGGGTGATCAGTGAGTGACAGGGATGTATTCCTCCGCCTTCCGGTATAGTTCCCTGACCCCGTGAGTATCTCGGAGTTGTGATAATTAATGCAGCTCGTTCATTATCCTCAGGTGTGTGTGGGGGCGTGTTCTCCGGTCGGTGAGACTGAAGCTCTGCAGAAGTAACTGACGGTCTGAAGAGGAAACCGTCTGCTGATTTTAGCCACTTTGACGGAATCTACGAGAAAAACGTGACGGTGTGCGCGCGTGCCCAGGTGAGCGCTGCGGTGTGCGGGTAGGACAGCTCCTCGCGCTCGTGTTTGTACCTGCACGTGTTTAAAAATGTGCACACTGTTACGGGACATTCGTCGTGTCATAAAACAGCTGCTTTGTTTTGTAAACTTTCCAGCTGATGACGCGCGTTGGGGTAAAAGAGTGTGGAGGCTGCAGGGGGGCAGCTGGTGTCCTGGTCTGTGTGAGAAAGCGGAAACCTTACTTGTGTCAAGCCAGCCTCCCGTTTGTTTTCTTTTCTTTTTTTTTTTACTTTATTTATCAAACAATGAGTATACAATATACGAACAGATGAAGTATACAAAACAACAGAACATGAACACACAAAGCCAGGGGTGAAAGAAAAAGGTAACAATTATAAGAATACACGCAAAAATTCACATACATATATTGTTTTGAGCGTTTTTGTTGGTGCAGTCTGATATTGATTGTATGTACATGTGCACATCCTTAAAATAATGACAGAAATATGGTGTTTTGTTAGTAAACTTACATTTATGGATAAAAAATTCAGCTAAAAGTATTAAGAAATTTATCATAAAAAACATTTCTCATACTTCTTGGGGAACTTAAAGAAACAGAATAAAACATTTTCCCATCGTAAAGAAAACTCCCTTAAAATATGGACAATAACAAAGCTGCTAAATTCCTTCCAGAATCTCTGTGTAAAAGAACAGTACCAAAAAAGATGTGTCACCGTTTCTGGATGATCCCCACAGAAAGTACAATTAGTATTTATGTCCCTTTTAAATTTGACCATGTAGTGACTGACTGGATAACATTTATGTAGAATTTTAAAAGAGACTTCTTTCACCTTATTTACAATCAAATATTTATGGGGGACCATCCAGACTGTCTTCTACTTGATATCTGGAACAAATCGGTTCCAATAAGATATTATATATGGGAGAGAGACGATATCTTCTTGGCATAAACTACGTATTCTCTTATTGCTGTTACCAAGTTCCTGTGTAAAGCAGATTTTTCCTATTGGTGACTCAGCTGGATCAGGGAGCGTGACTGAGGTAGATATTGAGCT